GCAAAGGATATTGCCAATTATGCTTATATACGCACTGAAGTTTAAAGTTTTCCAACCTTAAATCCTCACCTGTCAGGAAAAAGAGAAGGCGAAACAAAAGCAGAGTACTAAGCTAATACACAATCTAACTCAGCACACCATGAAAGTTTGAAAGATTGAAAATACAAAGCACTGTTGCAACTAATAATCTTCAAGTAAAATATAGTTTGAGCCACCAAAAGTTTCCTTTCGGACTACGTAGTGCCAAAAGCACCTATAAAATTAGTAAAGTTACTTGGTATTAGAGGTGGAAAAAAGAAAATAACAAAAAGATGTTAAGGTATAGAAAAAACTGTTGAAAAAAAAAAGGAAGTCCAAAGACGTGTTCTTTTGATGATGCCTGCCTGAGTGTCCAAATTTTTCTTCAACCGTTTTATTCTCAGAGTTTAAATCTGAGCTAACTTATAAGTTTTTCATGAAATAAAGACTGAAGGTAGTATCGAACTATCTTTACCAACCAAAGCTGACTAAGAAAATCTTTCTGGGGACATTTTTTGTGACTTATCTATAAATCATACTCGTTAACTGGATGAGGCAGGAAGGATTTTAGAGAGTACCAAAAAAGTAAGCAGTAAACATAGACATAACACAGAGAGGATTGTTGATCTGCAGCGATTCTGCAGCGATTCACTTGTCGATTCAGACCACGTAATGAATAGGAGTTTTTTTTAATTTCTATAGAACAGTTGTACAGAATTTCCATCGCCATATTATTAAAGACCATAAATTACTTAGCGTCACAGCGATGTCAGACCTGTAAGTAACGACTTGCAAAATCTTCCAAAAAGCTACACCCATTTTACAGCCATTCGCTGATTAAATGTTGTAGATTCAGAGAGAGATTGGAATGCACTGTTACGGTGGTAATTTGATGAAGATCTACATCAGGACACAAAAATTACGTCACCATTCTCCGGGACTTAACAGTTCTTTGTGCAAAAGTAGTTTAAAAAGACGCACTTCTATAATTTGTGTTATCAAATAGCGGAAACGCTCCCTAATTACATATCTATCAGTGCCTTGCTAGCACTAACGCTTATCTTACGCGTCACAAGCGTGCATAATTATTTTTGGTAATTTTTAACAATTAAAACTTTTTTCGTATAATAATCATTAGTTTTGCATTTTTCGGTGCGCATTACTAACGCTTATATATTCCTGAAGATTTTAAACTTTGTAATATTGTTTACAGCAAATTAGTGAGAAACCATGAAATCAGCACATTATTCGCTGAGTACGTACTTATAACACCCAACATTCAGACGCATAAAAAACACTTAAAATGTGTCCATTTTGAGAGCTTAGCAGAAGCTTAAAAATTAGACTAATCAACACAGCTAAATTCTATGACTTGCTATAAAAACTGCAGTCAAGCTACTATCCCTGCACGCGATGCGGACAGTTCCTTGCCTACACAAACACCCAAATTTCCAAAATAACTGACTTTAATCTACCTGAAGTTCATCAGCAACTTTGAATATTAGTTTAAAAGTTCAATCGTTAAACATTAACTAAAATTCTTTGAAAAAGTGCAAAATTTCCTGCTCTTTTGAGCTAACTGACCGTGTAGATTCCTCACAGTCTGTGGTGCGAGACGCCGCAAATGATTGCGAAACGCTACTACCTTTCAAGTTTTTAATTGGATCTGCAGTCAGGGAAGCCAGTTTCCTCAACAAAGAAACTGCACTGAACTTTTGACGAACAGAAATACAAGACAAAGGAATAAAAACTAACGGTCCTCATCTTTAAGGTCGAGTCGAACATTTGCAGCCAACTTTGGATTGGAAGGACATTTCAGCGTCCCGACAACTTGCATACATTCTGTACGACCATAAATCACATCAGTTAAGTGAAAAATAATCATAAGTGTTGAAAATATTTGTAAAGCCATCGAAGTCCCCATTGAGCCAGCAAAGAGTAATCAAGTGTTTTATGGCGCTATCAGTATGGAACCTCAGAAATAAAGAAACTATGTAAAGCAGAGCTCTGGAAAACAAAGAAAATAGAGAAACTAAAAGCTCATTCATGTACAGTTTATTTCAAATTTTTCGTTGAATGCATTTTGAACAGTAAACAAAATGCCTTCCCATTTACTGCTGCGGTTTTTTCAAAAAATAGAGTTAGTCTTTTTTTTTTCTATGTTTATATACATTATAATAGAAGGTTAAAAAGGGAAAAAAGCTTCTTAGAGTAAAGCGCTCACTGAAACAGAACATTATTTCAAACATAATCGCTAAAACATATTGTATGTCGTATAAATTACATATTATATGGTATATATTATAAATTATATAATATATGTATATTATTGTATATTATAT